TTTGGCCACTTTGGTCCCCGCTGTAACATCACTCAAAGAGTGTGGAAATGACCACACAGAAACTGAAACAAAGATTATTCAGTTGTGCTCAGTGTGAACAGTTAGTAAGGTCTGACAGAAACTAAAATTATGCACCTCACTGCACTCTGTGATTATCTAAGGATAGAAATAAGCATGATGACAATAAAAGAGTCTTCCTTTTGTACCATATAAATGCTTGCAAATGAGCAGTAAAGTGAAGGTATTATGAATGCTAGTAAAATTTAAGAGTGCTATTTTTCTGGTATTAAATCGAGTCTACAAATTGTTACTCAATGTTTATACTTCTATAAAAGAAAACATTTAGTCATCCTTCTCTAGACAGGAGCTCAGAGATGGAAGGCCCTGATGATTTTGTTGACTTCGGGCCAAGATTAAGCTTAAGTGACTTAACGTATTTTGCATTCATTCAACAATAATTATAACAGACCTTGGATATTATTGAGGTAACTACAAATAGATCTAGGCTGTTGGGGAGACACAATGATTGATTTAGAATAACATTTTATTTTCATTTCTTTATACTTGCTTGAGGAATGACCTGTTTTCAAAGTAATGTCAGCTGTTCCTAAAATGTGTGTGAAGTAGACATTTATTTGAAGCATAGTTTTTCATTGAATTGCATTATTATTCAAATCTACTTCAGAATTCTTTAAACCCAATATGTGGTAGCTTCTAAAATTTTACCTTTATGGCGGCTGGCCAGTTAGCTCACTTGGTTAGAGCACAGTGTTATAACATAACAGTGTTGTAACACCAGGGTCAAGGGTTCAGATCCTTATGCAGGCCAGCCACCAAAGAAAAAAAAAATTACCTTTATAAGGATTCCAACTATCTCCCCATTCTTAGTCACTGAGTAGTGATTGTTCTATAAACAAATAATTAAGAACCCTAGTTTTCGTAACTATTTGAAAGAAATTATTAGTGAATACCTTAGTGTTGGGTTATAAAGCCAAACCTTTTCAATTTATGGAATCGTGCCACAAATATTAAATGCATGTCAAAGATTTATATACAATTAATGCTTTATTCCAGAAATTGATGGAGTAAAATTTTATTTTTTGGAATCTTCTAGAATCGTGATCATCAAATTTTTCTGTAAATGAATAGATAGTAAATATTTTAGGCTGTGTGGGACAAGAGGCAAAGTCAAGAATATTATGAGTACTTACATAACAACAGAAAAAAAAATCCACAATTTTTTGTAATATCGATCTACTAATGGGCACAGTGAAATTTGTGGATGGATGGTGAAATAAGAATTTCATGATTTGTGTGTGTTTCTAAATGTTATTTTTCTTTTAATTTTTTTCAACCATCTAAAACTGTAAAAACCATCCTTAAGTCACTAGCCACACAAAAAACGGGTGGGCCGAATTTGACCTAGGGGCCCTAATTTGCAGATCCTTACTCTGGAACATAGGTTCTTAACTAGTAAATAGTCTAATTCCACACCAGAGATGTCATGGGGCCCTGAACTTCCTGAGATCACACACGATGTTTTTTGTGCATATGTGGATTTTTCTGTGTACAGGGTCTGAAGCTTTTATCTGACTCTCAGAGAAGTCCCAGACTCGAAAATGATTAGGAGCCACAGTTCTTCAGACATTCAGTTAATTTTTAGGAGACATTTCTTGAGTTTCTGATAGTTCCTAGGCACTGTACAATTAAATGTTTCCTAATAAGCTAATACTGCTAGAAACAACAGAGTAAATAATTGTCAGGTGATCTTATTTATAAAGTCCATTGTCTCCACCATTCTTCTTGCATTTACAAGACTGAGAAAGATAAAAATCGGTAACTCCAGGTCTGAGAGGAAAAAGCCTTCTATTTTCAAGTAGTAGTAGTAAATAATTTAGGTTCTTAAATTTCTGGAAGCAAAGGCTGTTCTCACTGACTTTGCCTGGTCTGGGCACTGCTGGGGACAGACCATTTTAGGCTATAAAGAGAAATCAGATTCAACGTATTAAGAACCTTTTTCTTTAAAATAAAGATTAACTCACAGATAGGGTTATATTAACTCAACTGCCATCAAGGGCTACGATATAGTTATGGGAAGGATTAAAGTTGCTTATTAAAGCTGAATGGGTAAGCTTGTGGGCTGCTTGACTTAACCCTTGGCTATTAGTCAAAGCTAAGCCTTTGAATGTTCAAATTCATGAAATGGAAGAGTTACCCTGGGGCAGAGGTGGTGGTGAGAAAACAGAAATGTCCATTTGAAAACAAACAAGCAGTCTAAGAGTTCCTGCCTCTGCCCCGGGCTTGAGAATGGAAGAACCTGCTGCTTCTCAATAAACAGTGTCATAGAATAAAATTTATACTCAAGAAGAAAATGATTATAAAAGCTAAGGTACTATTTTTAAAATCTAAAGATAGCACAGTATAGTATGTGGTGAAACCTTAGGAAAAAAACCAAACATTTTCAGCAACCCCCTTACATTTTTTACATAGACTGATAATTAAGTTCTAGCTTTTTTTCATACCCTTGGAGCATTTAACAAACCTAAGAAGGTTAAAATGTATTCCAAAGAAAGCAGAAGTTAACCAGGAAAATTTCCCTGGTGAGTCACCCCAAAAAAGGAAGGAAAAAACTACCTTAAACAGAAAGCATTTGCTTATATGTACATTAGGCTTAAATATTATTAATTGATGAGGATTTATTAGTGATTAAGGATTTTTTTTTAATCTGGAAAATCCACCCACTTCCAGGTCTTTCTTTCAGTTCAACAGTTAATAGATGCGATAATGGTCCTTCTCAGTTCTGTAAAACGCAAAAGCAAAAAGCATCCAAGAGAATGGGATGATGAACTTCAGTGAGAAATTTACCACAGAAGTCAGAGAAAATAAAAAGTAAAACAAAGAGTACTTTGAAATGTGGTTCGAATATGAGTTTTTACTATCAGAGATTCTCGCTGATTTTGAGACGGCATTGAATTGTCTGTTTTATTGCTGAAGCATGCCTGGATGGCTGTTTCCAAGAGATTCCCTTCTCATTATATAATGTCACATCAGCCAATTCCTGGAGCTTCACATCTCATTTGAGGAGAAGTATGAGGTATCCCTGTAACCTCTTACATCACAAAATCTACTTGAGCTGAGTCAGCCCTTGATTATTTGTCCCCAAACCTGAAAGCCTCTCCCCTTTATTCCACCATCTTTCCTGGCACCTGGTCTTGCCCCTTTCCTCTTAAAGCTCGTGGCCACCACTGTACCTTCTCTGCTCACCCTAGTAAGCCTTGCCAGTTCTTTGGGGCCAAGTTCTTTCTGCCTTTCCTAACATACCAATTAGCTAATTCGATAACTCTTCTAAGATAGAATGCTAATAGGGGAGTGCTTCCCTCCAAGCTGAATGTAGGTATAACAGGGGCTTCTTGGAAAATGCTGTGCTGGTGAAAATTTTCAAGTCAGTGTTGTGGGATGGGGGTGCCTCTTACTTCATACTCCACAGCCTCCAATGCCACCTGTATTTACAGCTGTTCCTATTAATGTGACTTAGCAGGTGTGGGCACAGCTTGGCAGTGTAACAGATTCATTACTTTTTTAGTGAAAGAAATAAAAAGAAAACAAGAAAGAACACATGCGATTAGCAATCCACAATGAGATACCAACAGTTACACAATAATTACCTTATAGAATCAGTATTAGGAATGTACTACATTTAATCATGGTCTATTATTCATTCATTAAACTGTTAAGATGTATTTTTAAAATGTGTCATTGATTATATCTGTCAACTGGTCATTCACTAAGTATTGGGTACTACAGGGGAGACAAGATAATATAATCAAAGAAATTATAACCCCATTGAGAAGAAAAGATGCCCACATGTGGAACAAACTGGAAAACAGCACAATAAAGTGATAAATTATGTGGTTACAGATAATAAAGGCAGTACACATATCAAACTCTTTGAGTCCAGGACTTTTAAAAATAGAAAAAACTGAGACTAGCCCTTTGCATTTCTAAGGCTTTTCTTTACAAGTTACGCTATAGTTTATGTACCGTATAATCCTGTTATCTTATCTCTTCCTGCCTAACAGGGATACTTGTAGCATTTCTAGAGCCTCCTTTTGAACTGTGAGTTTCGTCTGGCCCCCTAGATAAAGACAAGGCTAGGCAAGTCAGATTAGTTTATGAAACAGGACCGCTAATTTAAAAATAATAAAATATAATAACTGTACCAATCTAATTTTCGGTAGATGGCAAGAAGTTGTTTAAAGAGCTCCCTTTTATTTATTTATTTTTGACCGGTAAGGCACTGTGTGGTCCACACCATGCTCAGCCAGTGAGCGCACCGGCCATCCCTATATAGGATCCAAACCCTTGGCCTTGGCGCTGCCAGCACCGCACTGTTCCGAGTGAGCCATGGGGATGGCCCAGAGCTTGCTTTTTCTAATCTACCCCATTCTTCCTCAACTTCTTGCTGTCTTCCATAACTGTCAGTGGACCAAGAGGAGAAGCAAGGCCAGTGTTTGGTAGAACAGGTGGGGCCTGGGGCCTGTGGAGGCCAGGCAGCTTTAGAGCCATGCAATGCTGATGGAACTGGGGGGCGGGGGGCTAGGGGGAGGATACAGGTGGGAGGAAGGGGACTTTCAGGAATACGTGAAGTCTGCCTGCAGAGGCCATGCCTGTATAAGGAGACAAGGGAGAGTGTCCATATATGTGAAAAAGAAAGTGCTGGAGAAAATATATTTAGAACAAACTCTAGCAATGAGATTTAATTTGGCTAATCCATGGCTGTTAAAGTCATGGGGCTCATTTTATCAGTTTACCAATAAATTTACTGAAAGAGATTTGTTCATTTGAAAGCAATTCCTATATGGGGATTAGTATGAAACTAAAAATCAATCAGAGGAAACAGGATATGGTTTAGATAATTCTAATATTTCTGAAAGAATGCCTCCTTGTGGAAAAATCTATTTACCTCTAACATTTTTTTTTTTACTCTTTTAAACATACAGACTTCTTTTCCTATGACTCCGGCACTTGCAGCTAATCCTGCTATGACTTTCAATCCTTACTTTCCTCATCCTGGGATGGGCCTGGTTCCTGCCGAACTTTTACCAAATGCACCTGTTCTGATTGCTGGAAACCCACCTTTCCCGTTGACAGGAGTTGCTGGTCCAAAACCTATGCGTTCAGATAAACTGGAGGTATTTGTGAAGAAATATATAAATATCTGTAGGATAGATATTAACCTTATGTATGAAGTAACAGTCTCAGAGCCCAATGTGTTGAGTGTTTTAAATAAATGCACCTAAGCTTTTTTTAGTTTATGGAGTATAAACTCAGAAAAATGTTAAATGTTTTACTACTGCAATTATACCCTGTTCTTCAGTGCACTGATTCAGTTGTGCAGTAGGTCAAACAATGTTTTCCGTGTCCCCAGCCATAGACTGTGCTATGGCACAAGAAGTCTGGGTGGCAGTGCTCCTTGTACCACCCTCCAGCTTTACAGAATGGGATTACTGTATTTGTCAATGAATCTCTACTTGCTAGAATAATCAAACTGAAAAAAAAAAGTAGAGTAATCTAACTCTGTATGATTATGGAATGTAAAGCTATATGAATGCAGAATGTAAATGTTTCATAGTGTCTAAACCTTTTTCTCCATTTGAAAAATGATGTACTAGATAAGGAATATCCCTTGATGTCTAAGAATAGAAAATATAAAAGAAATTTTAAATAGCTTTTTGATTTATTGAAGTCCTTCAATCTTCCCTTGTCATTCTTTGTACATTGAAATAAATAACTAGTTGATTTCTTACAAAGACAACTCCATTGGCAGCCCCTTAAATGCCTTCGATGGTAGCATATTGTAATGGAATCTGATCGTACATGTAACTCAGTCATAGTTCACAGGTTGGCTGTGGAAAACCACCAGGGCATTGCTATGTGATAAAGACGCATCTCAGACTTTTAAAAAATCTAATTACTCTTGAAACTGTGTATTAACTAGAGGATTAAAATTGGTTTTCAGTAATACTTTTAAGGACTTTTATTTCAATGTAAGAAAAACAGACTCCTTTCCTTTGGGGATAAAGTAATTTTTTTTAATGAATATAAACTCTGTCTGTGTTTACATCTCATAGTGAATGTGGCTTTACATTACCCTTCATCTTTTTAGGTTTTTCCTAAATAAATGACAAAATGCATGACGGTACTCGAAAAAGGTTCATGGAAAAATAGAATTAAAAGAGAATACGAATCTTTCCATAAGCTTTTTGAAGTACCCTCTTATCTGATTACTCTTACATCCACTGGCAAAATAAATAAAAGCCAATCTCCCTCCAGTCATCGATGTGATCTGAGTGTGTGCATGTGTTGTTTTTTCCTCTTTAAGGTTTGCCGAGAGTTTCAGCGTGGAAATTGTACCCGTGGGGAGAGTGAGTGCCGCTATGCTCACCCTACCGATTTCTCCATGATCGAAGTCACTGATAATACTGTGACGATCTGCATGGATTACATTAAAGGTCGCTGCTGCCGGGAGATATGCAGGTACTTCCATCCACCTGCACACTTACAAGCCAAACTCAAGGCAGCTCATCACCAGATGAACCATTCAGCTGCCTCCGCAATGGTAAGAAAAGCCTGCACTTGGGGCCTGTCTGTTTTAGGGCAAATGATTAGGATATTCTTCAACTGGCCTAATAGACTGTAACCGCAATCTCGGATAGTCATGAGTACACCTTAACATGAGCAGTCAAGGTTCTAAGCTGGAAAAGAGGGAGCCTACTTATTCTACTTTACTTTCTATGATTTTCTAAAGTTAATTATTTAAAAGCTTTACTAATGATTTTAACCTACTCTTTCTCCCATTTTCAGAGAAAAGGGTATAATACATGATATAAACAATAAATTATTTTTGAGTGCTTTTTATAGTCTGACTATTTTTAATATCCTAAAAAGGCAGAAAGTTGCCTCTCTGCTCTGTGAGTCGCTTTCATGAGCACTTTGCTGCTAACATCTTCAGTGCCTTTCAAAAACAGAGCACTTAAAAAATGGGATATTAAGTAGGTTCTAATTTCCTAAAGGTCAAGGTTACCTTTTTCTCTTTTTTTCTGGAAGGATAGTACTGAGGACAAAGGCAGCAGTCTGCTAAGGCTGGGAGGGGGGATTTCTAGAGGGCTGGGAAAAGATGCCTGGATTTTGAGTTATGCTTAGCAAGTCAGTTTTGGGGAAAAGTTCTGCCTTAATAACACTGAAAGGTAGGAAGTAGGACAAATATTTGTGTAACACTGCAGTGTGATCGGTTAAGGAATAGGAATTATGAGTAAGTGTGACACAGCTGTCAATTATTTTGATATGCTGCTTGCTGTTCATTTCTTTTTCTACCTACACATTTCCTCATGGAATGGGGTCTCACAACCCCAATAAGGGACAAAACCCTAAGGAAATCTCATGTTCCCTGGCTGTGGATAAAGAACCGCCAGACCCTGAAGCCCAAGAGATGGAGTGTGAGGTGGATCTCCTCACGTACACTGATATAGTTTAGACTCCCATGACAGAGACCTTGCCTTTTCACAATAGAGATACATTTATTTTTATTTTTTTAATTATTTTAATTTATCAATATACAATATAGTTGATTTTTTTGTGTCTCTTTACCAATTCCTCCTTTTCCTCCCTCCCTCTCCCACCTCTCCTGCAATACATTTATTTTTAAATATCCCTATTAAGAAGGTTTTTCTCATACTGAGGTGAAATTTATCATGCTGCTGCTGGAACTTCACAAGATAAGTCAATTGTCATCCTGTAAGAGAGTAGCTTTCATGTCTCCTCTTTAAGCCCCAAACTCCAAATTTCTCCAACTTTCCTTGTAGATTATGGTTTCAAAGACACAGCACCATTGTGGACTAGCTCTGCTTTCTCAGTACCCTTGTTCTTTCAGAACTGAACCCATCACTTTGTGAAGGATCTGAGCACCAAAGCTGAACAAACTTAACTTTCTCCCTTTATTTGGACAATGTAATCGTTATTGAACGTTAAAAAAGACGTCCCCGAGGTTTTTTGGGGTTTTTTTGTCTTAAATGCTTTTGACTGGTGAGATTTTTTTAAGCTATGAAAATAACAAGGTATCTAGAATGCAGAATTTAAGCCTTCAATTTCTTGATTACCTATGTTGGTTGCATAGAGTTTAGAAATAGCGTGGGCCTATTAAAAGAAATGCAGTTTCCCCCTAGAAGTAAAGGTTCTCAAGCAAGGGTACTTCAAAGAGTCCATGGAAAGATTTGTATTATCTTTTAATTCTATTTTTCCATGGGTTGTGCAAGAAATGGCTTGCTTGGGCCGTTGTGCACCTCTACTCCTGTTCAGGCACGGGGTCTTCCTGTGTATCTGCCCATTTCTGATGATTTGGGTGTTTGGTAGAATGTATATGTCACAAGTCAGCCCCATATTATTTACTGCATGTAACCAAATGACTAGAAGAGAGGAGATCAAATGTTCACATTACAAAGAAATGATCAAGTTTTGCAATGTATACATGTATTGAAATACAAATCTGCACCTCGTAAATATGTATAATCAATATATTTTTTTTAAAAAAGTCATCCCCAAATTTCCATTTGGAGAGCTAAATATTATATAGTAGGCCTTCAGTTGGTACTTGTGGACGTCAATATAAAATTCCTTTCTGAGTAACCTATCAAAGTGGGGTCTTAGACGTAAAGTCAGATTGGCCAATAGAAATTTATTTGAGGTAAGATTAAATAAAGGAGGTCTTCATGAAGAAGTTTAAGATTTTTTATATGTCTAAGGATTCAAAGTGAAATGCTTTGTAAAAGAGGGATTTTTACCCTGTTAATGTATATATGCTGAAAGCAGCATGTATGCATTAAAAAAAAGAAAAAAGACCTGAAAGGTTGATACTTAGTTCATCCACAGTCTCCTACCTCTTTGGCAAATTTGTGATGAGGCTGTTGAGACACTGGCTAGTGTTGATAATAGAAATATTTAATAATAGTACAAGCATCACCCAATCAGAATTGGGTACTGACCTATCAGGATGGAACCCAGCAGTAAACAAGCAGTACTACCTTACCGGGGTCTACCAGTTTGGATGTCCATCTAGGCCCTGCCTCAATTAGTAGTTTACTAGGCAACACAACTTTGGTTTTGATGATCATACAATGCTCCTGACTTCCTAGAGAAAGGGACACTTTCCCCTTATACCAAACGGAAATCTTTTAAATAACCATGTTCCTGTCTTACTCAGTTAAAATTTTAAATAACCATATCCCTGTCTTACTCAGTTAAAAATCCCCCACCAAACCATTTCCCCCAATGGTGATAAAAGGTATTCAAAGTGATAAATTACATTTTGCAGTTTATGATCTTAGTTTCTATTATTTAGTCATCTGGTCCTCTAGGATAAATTTAGAAATTATATTTTTCTAAAGCTACTCAGTTTATCTTCATCTCACTTTTTTAGCATGCTTTTCTTCATTTAAGAGAAATAAAAATAAGATCTGTCACACTGTGTGCACTGACAGCAGAGTTCCCAAAAGAAAGTAGAGATCCCTTTAGGCCTTCATTATTCGCATGGAATGACCCTTTTTGGCACAGGGAAGGTTAGTTACTCAGCACAAATGTTCCTGTATCCTTAAGAATTTGGAGCATGCTTAATTGCTGTTGCTGAGACATGTTTTTTAAGTAATGTGCAATTTGCTGAGAAAAAAAAAAATCTTAAATTCTAATGAATCTGATCCAGGGGCAAGTTATAAGCACAGTGAGATTTTGAAAAAGACTGTAGACGTGAAAAGAGGATTTAAACATGCTAATAGGTTTTAGAATTAAACCCTACAAGGACTTAAAGCAAATGGTACATACTGAACTGTACAGAAAGCCTCTCTAAATGAGAACTGTATACGTTTTGCTAACTATCTATAGTATCTGGGGGAGGTAGGCGGTGGGGGAGTAATGATGCATTTGCTTTTTCCTTACATGTTAGTTAGAAAATACACAGTTGTAGGATTTGAACCCGAAGTCTTTGTATAAATTAGATTTTGTTTTATGGGGTCTACAGTATCAGACTCTGATCTACAAACATCTGTTTTAGCACCTATGTGCATTTATCTCCTAGGTCCATGTCAGAATTTTACCTGACAAATCTCTTTCCTGCTATATCTGTGGCTTCTTCTGATCTCTGATTTGCTATAATAGCTTTCTGTCCCATCCTACCCAAGTGAGATCTAAATTAGTGAGGTTGAAAGTTCTCATTTTTCCCCCTGTATTTTTATTTTCTGTTTTGGACTAACAACTGATGTAGTGAACTGGTTAATCTCTACAGTTGGTTATCTTGCTGTGGGGCCACTGCTAATTGAATGTCTCGTTTAATGGATATCCTTGCGGAGGATTCCCAGGCCATGCCTTATATAACTGGTGCTTGCTTGGTTTGAATACATATATGACTTTCTCTGGTACTAGTGATTAATCCATCCCTCCCTCACATGTTCTACAGCCTGGTGCATATCAACTGATACCAAAGAGATCGGCACATGAAAAGACCAATGGAGCCACCCCAGTCTTTAATCCCAGTGTTTTCCACTGCCAACAGGCTCTGACTAACCTACAGCTCCCTCAGCCGGCCTTTATCCCTGCAGGTGAGAACTCGGCTCTGGGCACTGCGGCCACCTTAGTGATGTCATGCATGTATGCAGCTTACAACAACATTTTATGGGAAGACTGTGGACGTGTATTTTGATTAGAAATAAAACAAGGCAGTTAGGCTTGATCTGCTAATATCTAGAACAAACCTGTTTCTCTAGTGTTCCTGAAAAATTAATGGTTTAAAATCAAGCTAGGAAGAGGTGTCAACATTTTTTCTTTTTAGCTTATCTTATTTTTAATTTTTATTTTTTGTTGCTTTTGATTGATTCACTTGGTTCAGTCTCAAACTAATTCCTTGACTCTTAGGTATCACTTTTACAGACAGTGATCTAAACGCTCTCAAAAAAAAAAAAAAAAGGAATTCCCACCTTTTAGCACAGCAAAGAACTATAATCAATATTATATTTGATATGCCAAAGGTAGTTATAATAAAGCTACCCTTAAATTTATAGTATGGAATAATATAGTATAAATAAAATAGGTAGTTTTAGCCCCTAACTCTTAAATGAGTTAATGTAAAATTATAGCAATTTATTATATTTTTTTTACACTTTGCAGCATATTTTATGTTACCTCCTATATTCAGCAAAACAGTTTTCTACCAAATTGAATAGAAAATTTTAAGCCAGCATTTTGTTCAAGTAAATATCATATATGGGAGGAAATAATTTTCTTCCTGTAGTTCAGTAGTACTTTAAGAATGAGCATATAGTCTCTTAGGAATAAATAAATAAATAAATAAATTTAAAATATTAACCACTGGGACACACACACACACACACACACACACACACACGCACGCACGCACGCACTATATATCTCCAGTTTGGAAATTAATTTAGAAAGCCTTGTTAATTATATAAATATGCTAAACATAATATTGTATACCTACCCTGGAAAAAAGTCCACTGGTTAATTAATAAATTAATGAGCTAATTTAGAAGCCATAAAAAAAACAGTCTTTAGTTACTGACCACAATAGTTCTTCATAACATCATTTAAATTACACAGTTTTACACACTTATATAATAGTTTCTGAGGGGAGACATGAAAAATTTTAACACTTTTTTACGTAACTTATAAAAAATAACCATTAATATGTAACAATTTAGGTGTTTGCCCCATGCTTAAGAAAAAAAACCATAATGTCCACAGAGCAAAAGACAAAACCAGTATGGGTTGAGTTGACATTATTTCTGGCATTTTTTTCTTCAAAAATTGTGGTAATTGACCTACACATTAGATCCCTCTACCTTGACTACTTCCAGTTTGTCTTATAGCTCTGGAATGAATTTGGTAGCCAAGGAAGTCTAGCCAAGGTAGTTAGCTGAATGTGATAAAATTTACATTGTTCATTCTAGGTTTTCTCAACCCTTCAGTTACTTTGTTTAGAAGTTAGACCCTTTTTTTCTTTTTTCTTTTTGCCAGATTTGGCCAACCTAAAGTCTGGATTTCTAAGGAAGAATGTCAGAAAAATTCCCCTTGCCTTAATTAACAGCAAAATAAAAACCTGTCTGGCAGAGAGCCCCCTTTTAATGAAAAGCCAATTTGCCATATGTTCATAGTAAATTTCTCAGTTACAGTGAGGTGGAAGAACCAGTGTTAATAGATCGATGCTCTAAATAGAAATATGGGCACCAGGTACCAGATCCTGGAGCATATTTTGAAAATGATATATGTCATAAATTAAAATTTTTCTTTTTATGTAAAAATTATTTAGGATGTATTTGTCCAAAATAAATGCAATTTAAGTGAGGTAATTTCTTTAAAGAAAAAATAAAGTGCATTTTTGTACCTAAGAATCCAAGAATTACTTTGATTAACTGGGTTTGTGATCTTAAAGCGAATCTGTAATTGTAAGCATGGGAGATAACTGGATTTGCATGTGCTGATTAATTGATATTGCAAAGAAAATATCTTTCTATTTAAAATTTATTTCTATCAGTGAAGCTTTAATAATGAAATATGTCTTTTCTTTACTCTCCACGCTTTTCTGCATGGTGTACAGGGCCAATACTGTGCATGGCACCCACTTCAAGTATTGGTAGGTTTTGTACAAAACTTCTCAACTTTTTCTGATCTTGAAAAATGTGTTCTCTCTTGTGACTATGAAAGAGATGAGTGACTGAATGATGTGGCTGGACATTTTCTGAGTATTTAAGGTTTAATATGGTGCTTTCTGTTTTCTGTCTTTGTGGAATCAAAATAGTCCTACTTTGCCAAGTCCTAGTTGGTTGCCACTGTAGCCAAGTACTGACCCAGCCATTTCTTTCTTTCTACCCTAAAAATACCACCTGAAAAAATTTTAAATGTTTCTTTAGCTGGCAAGACTAAGCCATTTTTTTGTTCTTAGTTTTACATCTATTATTTTCAAAAATATCTCAAATGTATAATTTGTAAAATAAAATGAAACAATTGCTCCTCCCCCCAAATTGTCCATAAGTCCTAAACCATTCAGCACTCCCATGTTGAGAAGGGATGAGTTAAACAATGCTACAGCATTCTGCATTGTTCTGTGATGATTTCTGTAGTGTTCTAGAATGAATTGCCACCTGCACAGAAACTAGGTAGAACAGAATCATTTCAAAACGACTCTGGGGGGGGGGGGGGGATTTGGTGATTTTTAACAACCAGTTACACACATATCCTTTAGTTAGCCACCAACAAAATATGGTAGCCATTTCTAAGCCATTTTGCACATCAGAAATACTGAAGAGGATGAGAAAGCAACTGGGGAGTTCATAGCTCCTATAGTCCTCATGGGTACCAGGAACAGATCATGAGAAAATAGCTCTGTTCCATGAAGAGAGGAGTGATCTCACCCAATCCCACCCTGCCATCTCATATCAATCCAGTTCTTTTTTTCTGAGAGTTCGCAAGAGTTTGAACTTCATCCATTGGTGGACCAGAGTAGACGTAGAACTCAAAAGACATTCACGGGCTTATTGACGTAAAACAAAAGGTCAAAATGACAACCACAAAGTAGCAGCACTCACTAACATAGCAAGGTCTCAACCCGGGCAGTGGGAATGAGGCATCTGTTATGGAGGGATTGGCTGTGCCCTGTAGGAGTTAGCAACATTTCCATTGATACTAATAAAAGCATTGCATACATGTGATTGGAAGAACAGACTTCTGCAAGTTTGAGAGTTGCGTCTCTGTCTTCACATTTTCTGGCTGTCCTTTCACCTTTGGAGCTCTGCTTAGGAATGCAAACTGCATGCTTTAGTGGTGCTGCTTCCTGTACTGTCCAAAGGGAAACAAGGGTATTTGCAGAATTGGCATGTGAGACAGTAAGGGATGGCTGTAGGTAATGGGTAACTAGAGATGAGTGGAAGGGATAGCAATGGAGTTTCTGTACACCACCATTTCGGGTACATTTTCGGTTTCTGTGACATTGCATATATCGATTTTCCTCTCTCTGGCCATTCACTTTCTCTGTAGACTTTCAGACAATCTGAATTCAATCAGTGTAGACATGATAAGTTATTATATATGCATGCTTGCCATTCACACATTGCCATTCACATGTTAATGCCCTGGTTTGCTTTCCAAAATGAACTAGAAATTAGAAAGCATCCAAAAAAAAACTTTCAAAATGAGATAGAAACTAGAAAAGGCAAAAAGAAAACATCCTGAAAGAGATTTTGCAGCTGCTAGTCACTGTAGCTATATTTGTTGTGAAGATAAGATTTTCTATGAAGTGTTCCATATATTTGTTTGATAATTAGCCGTAGTTTCCAAGGAGTTTGCCAGAGGTGTACTTAAAAACCTGTACACATAGTCCACTATATTCTTCATATCTGCTCGCTTACCACATAACCACCAATCAAACTACTACTTTTTTTGCATGCAGATCAGGTAAGTAAACATAATTGTCACTTAGCGCCTACAAACCTAGTGACAGCACTCATGTTCATGAGTCAGTGAAGCCAACACCAGTTCACAATTCCCTAATCCCCTTGTAAATGTGCACCCCAGTTACTTGTCTGCTTATCTGGCTTCAGACAGATAGCCCTGGTAACAACATCAGATTTTTTTTCATATGCACTTATTATAACCCCCTCTGAAAATTTGGCTTTTTGTGTCAACTACAATGTGATTCTGCTCAAAAACTTACTAAATGTTGAGAATGGTTCTGTTTTCCTTAATGGTAACTATAATTGGCTTTCCCCTCTTCTCTTTTTAAATTTGTCCCCCTTCCATGCTGTGTTGCTTTGCACTGACTGTGATTGCATGTTGCATCCTGGTGTACCCATCATGATGACATCACATGGCTTGTTGCTGTGATTCCTACCACACCTCATCCCATCGTATGTGTCATGGTTGCATAAATGCTCCACCCTCCCGTGTGTTGTTTCCACGGTTTCCTACTGAAAGTGCCCATGATACACGGTGCTACACCTACCACTGTGTCTGCAGCAACAGCACCTGCCACCAGCGTTCCCTTCGCTGCAGCAGCTGCAGGCAATCAGGTTTGGCCATTTATTTCACCTGTTCAGATCTAGATAACTGCAATGTGTTGGTAAGGTGCATTATATCCTTTTTTTGGATTGGTGAGAATCATTGGTCCATATTCTTAGGTTTCTTAAGCAGTTGTCACACTTACAAGTGTTATCTTTGTGTATATTCCAGAGTACTGTCTGCACATTGTTATTTATCCTGAGATTAATCAGCAGAGTTTTACTAATTTTTAATCAGTTACAAGATATTTCTTTTTATAATCTATATGCAATTATTGCTACCACAGCAATCCTCAAAATGTATATACTAAATGTTTCTTAAATGCTTCCTCATTGGTCAAGAGAAGAATTTATTTTATTTTACTGCCATTTTCAGTTATTGTGTTTGAACTTTGACTTAGTGCAGTCATCGTCTTTACCTTTAGAACCACTGGAAAGAAAGCAAGATAACATTTCTTTCCAAGGCACAGATGTCCTTATCATTACTGAGTGATTACATCAGAAATTCCTTCTCATGTCAACGTTAGATGTGCTGGTGTTGTTTTGATTTTCATTTGCTTTAGGTATTTCCAGGCAGAGTCACAAAGGCAAATGATAAGTTTTTGGGGAGTCTTGAAATTGTAAGGAGACACATACAATAATTATTGTATAATGTAATGGCAGTTTTGCCTTATTAAACTGGTAACTATGCTTACAGACTGCAAGATCCACTGCTGTTTAAATTACAACTATGATAACCATAAAGCATACAGAGCATTAATTCATTGGGGGATGAACTATGTTCTAATCTGTGCTTTGCAAAATTTACTATTAGTGGAAATGGTTAATATGTCTAAAATTTTCTGTGAAATTGATTATGGTTATTGATTACCTTGTCCAAGTAGTGAACAAAATAAACAGAATTCTCTCAAGAAGTTATTTTAATCTAAAATCTTTTTTACTACTATAGATACCCCAATTATCAATAGATGAACTGAATAGCAGCATGTTTGTTTCACAGATGTAGAAGTTACCAGTAGAACAGTAAGTTTCTTTAAGTATTAATATAAATAATATTTATAGGCTAAATATTTTATCTGTACCATTGCATTGCTAAAGGCTTTGGTAAATAGTTTCATTAATAGACATTGCTTATGACTTAGAACTTGGTTTACGCGTTCTAAATTTTCCAAATTAAAATTGTGAGAGCAAATATGCAATTTTTTTTATATGAAAGTGACAGCTGGTACTGTATTTTCCCAGTGAGCTTACAAATTCTAAAATGTTTTTCTGTTATTAAAGGAGTGTGATGTGTTAGCCAAAGGCATAGATCATTTCAAATTTTAATTCTTTAACATTTTTATAGCTTCATTTTTTTATTGAAGTAAAATAGTAATTTTGTCAGGATTTGATTGAGATGATTATCTTAAAGTCAGTAAGCAATTGCTTCTGTGATTGTAGGAAATAGTGCTTTTACTATTCTATGTAAGTCAATTAGAATTGCTCCAGCTGTTTTGAATTTTGAGTGACATAATTTAGTAATTTAATCATTATTTTCATTTGAATCTTTTTTTTTTTTTTTAACTACTATTGTTGGATTTTTTCCCCATCACCTTGATCTCTTTGCCTGGTCCAGAGCCCGTAGTAGTACACACTTAATTTGAGCAGTTGTTCACTTGGAACATGTGACTTTTGAAGCCACTTAATACTCCTAGGTATCTTAATTAATTCTAGGAACTTATTAAACAAGTGTACCAACTCTGAATTGCATACCTTAGTCATTGAAAGTTGGAACTTCTTACAGCCGAAGTGTATTATTTGGTTGAAGGAGGCAGCAGTTCTGTTTTCTTTTGGACTAGTTCCCAGATCCCAGCAGCCCTTCTTTCCCACTGAGAACACACAGGCCAGGCACACTCATCATGCTGGACAGAGCCAATAGCTGACTGCACATTAAATGAATAGGTCCCCTCAATCATAAGGAATGTTTTAAAAAAGACACCTTTGAGTACATGGAATAACTGAAGGAGCTATAAATTTTAATAGTTTTCAGGGGTGTTATCTGGGATAGTGGCAACTTGGGAATAGCACCAAACAAGAGAATGTAGGTCTTGCCAACAATCAGTTCCATGTGTAACAGGTGTTGAAAATTTCTCCAAAGGTTAAAGATGTAATTTTGTACAGTACTGTGTACCTAGATTTCACACTTACGCTATTTCTGCATGGCTCTAAAACATTCAGATAAAATGTTTAAAGCTGATTTCATATTTGCATATTTCAAAATGTTTGACAGTAAACACGTTTTCTCAATATATGCCAGTTGAAGGAGGTGGAAGGATGGGTGGATGTTCAGCAAAAAGTTTTGGCATCTCTGCTAACTTAGGGCAGTTCTCCACATTAGCACTCGACAGGAACCATAGACTACAATAGCTACATGGCTCTTTACTGATTGTTCCCAACAGCCCATTTTCACAGATGTAGAATATCAAATTCAGAGTAGGGAATACCTTGGCATAGTTCACACACAGGACTGGAACAAAAACCAGTCTCCTGACTCCTAGTTCAATAATCCTTCAATATTTCTCACTCTTTTTTTTTTTTTCCATTTCAGTTGAAATTCTGAACAGCAGAGTTATGGAGTATCAGAATCTCTCCGTGAGAACTTCCGTATGGCCTTTCTATACATATTCTCATATGTCCTCTTCTACCAACACAGCAAGTGTGGTGCAGTCAATGTATTAAGCAAAGCAAACATACTAGCCAACAAGTTCAAGTAAAAAATAAAGAATTAAAATCAATGAAGATATTAAAACAAAACGCATATAGAAAATTAGTAACTACCATCCAGCTCATTTGAATTATCAGGTAAAACATGACCATAAAACTTTGTGACTTGTTACCTTACTCTTTGTGATTTTCCAGCAACCGTTATGCTAAGTGAATTTCCACAGTGTACTGTTGGCTTACTGTACATCATTGGTGGATAAACATTTGTCTGTTTTTGAAGTGTTACGTTACTATTTTGTTTACACAGTAGTCTGTTGGGTTGGTTTAGAATGTAACAAATATATCTACTACCATTTTCCTTGTTACTGTATTGTATTGTGTTGTTTTTACATACTATAGTGTTTTGCTGTATATGTGTGGTGTTTGATTTCAAGTAAAATGTTATTAATGGAAAACAAGTATATGTGTTTGAAAAACATGACAGGTTCGTGTTAGTATGCTCTCTTTCTTTAGAATATTTCTGTAGATTTCTTGGGGCAGACATTTAAAAAGGCCTCACTTTTGAGTGTGCACTAAACCTGTTCACAAACATGCATGTGTATGGTTTGTATCTGCATATCTAATCTAGCATAATACAATCAAATTACTAGATTTTTTTTTTCTGAGAGAAATAATTACCTGCACAAAGCAGGGAATTTGTTAAAACATTAACCCCTCATCCACTCCTCTTAAATAGCTTGAAAAATAAGAATTTACCTGCCAATGAATTTCTCAGCATTTATACTAACAATTATGTAAAGTGCCCATTACATTCTTTGTGGCTGAAGAATCCTATCTCCTAGGTTGAGTGTCTAAAACTGAGCCATTTGCCATCTTCAGCTGAGAAACTGGTACTTGGAGCTTTAAAGGTATGCTAATTACAGGCTATAAATCAATCAAACAGAGAGATGGGGGCGTGGAGATAGTTTCTACATACTGAAGAAATGTGTGTAAAACCCTTGCAGTGTAACCTTTTACACAAGTGCCATTTTCCAAATGCAAATGGCTAATGCTTTTTACACTACTCTGAATAATATGTAAGATGTGGTCTAAGCAAAAGTCAGGGTGAAAGAGAACGGTTCTAAATGAGACCTTTCCTCCCAAATGGATTTTCTATTGATCACAAAGGGAGCCTGAGTACAGAGTTGGAGAAATGGTGGGGACAGGGACAGGGAGGTGTTTAAATGTATTCTTTGATTTATTTGAAAGAACTGGGAAAGATGTCTGCAGTTGGCCTTTAGCTTCAGTTCAACTAAGTTTCCTGTTTTGTTAAACACTTCAGTGAAGGAGCAAGCACCTGTGATATATGGCAAGTATTTCCCTGTCCAAACTTCAACCTCAGACTCATAACAAAATCTCTTTTTTTGTTTATTTGGATTTGTTTGCCTTTATATGTGTTTGAAAATTATAATACAGAGGTTTTTAGCACCCTTTAGATGAGAGAGTGGCTATACTCTACAGAGCTGAGCTGAAATCACATTACTAATACTTAAGAAATAATTTTGCAACCAAGTAAAATAGTAATTGATTCCTGTGGTGTGTGGCATACCTCCTCCACTCGACTCAGTTATTAACTTTACTCTTATTATACAGTGGTCGAAACGTATGCTGTTTTACATCAACCTAGGTAGATTTAACATTGTCTACTAAACATATATTCTCCCACTGTAAAGTATAAAACCATCAAATTTGAGATATGTATACATATATATAAAAAATAGAGAGAGCTCTTTTTCTCCTTCATGAAAACGACAAGCAAAGAGAAAATTTGATTTAGAATACCTTAAGTGGCTAGTAGTGTTTGAATCACAGAACAATGTGCTTGGCAAAGACCTTTTCACGGTTGATGAAACTGAGGCCCAGGATATGTGACTTGCCCGAGGCTTCCTAGCCGTTGTGGGACCCAGAAATATCCCCTGACTCCCACTGTTCCTCCTTTTCACATTGTTTATGCTTCTGAACATTTGAGACTCTATCTCAAAGCTGATTGATTTGGCTCAGAATACAAAAGAGCAAAAGTAGCTCCTCTGGTAGTTGATTTTAAGCCTATTGATTTAATTATCAATCCAAATCCTGATCAACAGTGATGTCTAAACAGTCTTGCTTGTATGAAGCCACTGTCATCTGTTAACAGTGTTGCCTGGAGTTAGAGATCAAGACTCTTTAAATCACTTTAATTTCTGTTTCTCGAAATTTTAACATCGCTAGAGATGAAAGTAGAATATGCCTTTTTGAAATTCTTTGTGTATGGAGCTGAATTTTATATAATCTGTGCCAGTGCCTCTCCAGAAGGACAGAAGGGAACACATGAATCCAAGAAGAATGCACCTGAGCTAATCTGGATGTATTCCTTAAAGGAGAGGGGAACGTTTTTTTGTGCAAAATGAACTTTTGTGTAGTTTGATGCAACGTACTATCTCATTTAACTTTTTAAACTTTTAGCAAAGATGTACCTAGAAAATAAACCTGGAGTACAGCTGTTTTCATATTGCTTTAAGCACTGGAAGAGATTAATAATGACTTAAGAGCTTCAGTGAGGGATATTCAGTGTAGTTGTATTTTTGGTGCCACAATTTTCTGTATTGTTGGCATCTGAAAAGTTGCTTTGTCAGTGACTTTAAAGAAAGCAAGCTCAAAGCCCTAAGGTTTTGATCAAATTCAACAGAGTTTTGGGAAAAACGCAATTTTAAGATAGCACTCTTTAAACTAGTTGTGCAGTGACTTGTTCAAACTATCGTTATTCAAGAAGAGAAAGGAAGAAAGATAAGTCATTAGACTATAAATTTCCAGTTAAAGAGAGAAGTCACAAAAGTAATCAGTGACTCTAAACAAAAATTTACTGGATGAAATGTATATATGAAATTCTAATCAATTGTAATTCTTAGTTAACATTTTATAAGCTTTGTATTTTACGAGGGCTTCTATTTTTTATTTATCCAACATTATTCTTTGTCCATTTATCTCAGCCTTTTGCAAAAATATGCAAGAGTGCTGAAACTTGGATAAAACGGGTCATGTATACAGAGAAAATCTAAAAGTTATCTTTTAAGAGGGTTTCAGTAGTGTCAGTTTTTTTAAAAAAGCACTATGTGACCATAAGTATATTTTAAAGAGGGATTAAGATTAAATTAAAATAAATGGATTCATAAAATTGCTATTTAAATACAGTATTGACTTTTGTAATTGAAGCATGATTCCACAACCAGCTGTTGCATTTCATTTCACTTTTCCAGATTAGGGTCTTTTAATTTGTAGTTAATTATGATGTGGAAAGCCATCTTCTCTCTACTCCATCAATCGTCTCCATCCCTTTTGAACATGTTAAAGCACTTTGATCTTACCGTAAGTGTTGTCCTACACCACTAGACTGTGTTCGCTAATGGGGGGCCTCAGCTTACCTCTCCAATTTGGGAAAAAGCAAGTACCTCCTCCCTGCCATCGGCAGGAACTGAATGAAATTAATCTTTACAACTTGAATCTGTTTTTAATGGCATGACCAGTAAGCATGTGTTGATGTCTGAATACGGAACACCGTTTACATTACTTTTTATTAAATGCGAGAGACGGCTCATTTGCTACTTGGCCTATTATTTGGTTCTTTTTCCCTCTCTTTGGAGAGTTTAGATGAGGATGCTCTTAAGTAAAATGCAGCCACAAGTTTTCTGAGTTTCTTTAGTCTGTAGGGTAGGCTATGATGCACAGATTGATTAGAAACTGGAATCTTCATTCTTTTTATCTCATACATTTTACACACATTGAAATAGAAATAGTAAAATTTATGAGGGAAATCTGATTTCCCAATTCTGATGAATAGATTGAGTAAGATAGTGGCCTAATTTTACCAGTGCCTGTTGAAGGCAATAGAATAAACAGCATGTAAAACAGTATAAACAACTTTTATTTTTGGCAAATTTAGTTGATAGCCTAATCGAACTGTAAATATATCTACAAATAAAGTTTCTGAGCACCAGCTCACTAATTGGTGCCATGTTTTCATTTTTCTTTGTGTTAGTTTTTAAGATTTTTATTATATTACTTTTTTATATCTCTAAGTTACTAATGAATTTACTTTTGAAGGAGAGTTAGAGAAAGTTTGTTTTTACCACATATATTCAGCCTGCCGTGATAGGTTCTAAACTGACACTGAAGCATGACAAGATATAGATTATAGTCCATAACTATTCTTTACAGCTCACAGTTTAAGAACAAATTTAACTTTATATACAAATAATAATTGTTGACTAATTATTATTTAGTTGTCGCTTTGGCAACCAAACTACAACATGGCTACCTTTAGACATTTTGTGTGTGTGTGAAAATTTTACGTGCAAACTATAAATGGTTTGTAACAGTTATGAGCATATAGGAAATAAAGGTCAAAACTCAGAAAACAGATATGGCTCGTTTTTTTTTTTTTTTTTTTTTTTCCCAGAGTCCCATGCGAAAGCTGAATTCATATCCTTGTGTGACTTTTTGGTCAAAAAGTTTACGACACTTGTATTCTAAAATCAGGCTTTATAGTTTATATAGAATTTGTTCTGTGGATAGGGTTATTCCACAGTATTTAGACTTCAAAACATAATCATTGCACTTATAATATATTACCTGACCTTTTTTCATAACTTTATTTATTCCAAATTATCCTATACAAATGGCATAGCTGTAGCTGCAAAAATTCTGGGTTTTTGGGGATTACATACACAAATATATCTATATGAGGGCTAAAACATGACTCAAACATATTTTGAAATTAATTCATATTTATAATACCATACATATACTGTGGAATGACCCCTCAACAGTGTTTAATAGACATATGCTGCAGTTAACTGATCGTCTCAGTCAGGGTGCGGATGTGTGAGACACACCAATTTTGCACTTATGTACATAGTCCATGAGAGCACTCCTTGGAGCTTTTTTTAAAATATAAGAAGTCTGTGATAATAATGGAAAAGTTAGTAAGAGAGAGTTATTTCTAAGGCTTTGAGAAGGAGGTGTTTTTTGGCTATAAGACCTAACTAAAGCACGATGTTGCTTTGCTGTTGTGGAGGCTTGCTAGTTTGCTACCGCTCACCAAAAGAGAAGACTGGTAACAGGTCATAGGTCAAACTTCCACTAGCAGCACTGAACAAGAGTCCAAGTTCTTCACAGTTTTGCAAGACCACTAGCAAAGATTGTTTGCTTTTTAAACTAATTCCTGCTGTAAACACACACACACACACACACACACCCCAGGCAAGTTTTTGGCAGAGGTTTTTGGTTTTTTCCAATGGTTGCAAGCAGTGAAATACCCTGTAAATTGCAAGATAAATATTCCCATTATCATCAAATCAGATTCCATCATTTATAGAAAATTATCAATTGATATTTACATCAGTTAATATGTATATCCACTCATAGGTATTTAAGTGACAAGTTG